CATCTCATATATCTAATTTTTAATAGTAGAATGTGTGTAGTGCTAAACACAAAATGCTTATGAGAGGATAATGAGAAAAATGTCAATGTAAGGGAAGGGTCTGAGACTTCTCCAGGTGGCGTTAAAAGCTGGATTTTTAATTTTAAAACTGTGGGCAATTTGGAAAGGATAAATATTCTTGAGGCAGTATTTAATCTTAATTTCTTAAGCAAACTTTACAAGGACACGCAAATAAAAATCTGTAGCTGTTCTGAGCATCATTCACAAAGTGTGTGACACTGTTGAAGCAAGGGACTTTTAGCACTGCTGTTATGCAATGAAATTCAGTAGGAACTGAGGAGGCTGCTACTTGCCTCAGAAGCAAAGAATAGTCCTAATCATCAGTTCCCAGAAGAGTGAGATAATTTTCCATGTTCCAGGAGCATGACCCTGCTAGGACACTTGTTCATACCTGCCTACACACTCTACTATAGGTGCTGTAGTGCTAGGAGCTGGCACAGCATCGATATACTGCCATGTCCACATGGAGTGTCATTATTTGCTTTATGTGTGTCTGGTGTTAGCTCACTCTGATTCTATATCCAGTGACAGTGGTCAAAACTAAGGCAGCCTCAAAAATTTCTTGGCAATTCTGGATGGAAATTTAGTGATTAGTTTAAATGTCATGTTTTATGGAAAGTATCTGGTTTTCCTTGTTGGGGAGTAGAAAGGGTAGGAAGACATTTTTGGAGGTTGCTTTTATTATTTGTACAGCTTCTGCAATGACGGCTTTCTGTGCATCTAATGTACAATTCTAACTCCCATTCACAAACTATGAATTTAGCTCTGACTAGTTCTGTGGATTCAAAAAGAACCTAAACATTTGACCTGCAGGCAAGTTTTCACAGTATCCAGCTTAAGAAACTGGCACACAAAGCCAGGCTGCACTGCGTTATAGAGATGAGTGATCTTTTATTTTTCTTTCATTCCTAATACTTTTAAAAGTAAACAGTTTCCCCCGACTTGGTGGGATGTGTCTATATTGAATGTGGTATCAAGACCTTTTGTAGAGTTTCTGAGGCTTACTGTTGAGGTACCACATGTAATAAATCTCATTCTTTTCAAGAAACAATCCTTTTTTTTTTTTTTTTTTCGGTCTGTCCTTACAGATTTGATACATCAGTAGATGTAAAAGCTTATCAGTAAGAGCTTGACTTTAAATGCTAAAAATGTATGTCTTTCTCTTTCTCCAGATTGTTCTCTGCCTTCTGATTTCAAGTCTCAGTCTTCCCTTCCTGTTATTCCATCATTTGATCTTCAATAATTTTTCCCTCTCCAATTTCTTAGCAGTTTCCCATATGCTTGTATCTCTTCCTCCCCCTTACTTACTTCCCAGCTTTGACAGCCATTCTACTGCTCCTGTCTCCTCCAGATCCTAGTTTTCCCTAGGTGTTGAGCCAGTCTATGATTCATATTTCCTGAAGTCCGTCCCTGTCATTTCCCCTTGCAGAGGAGGGAAGGTTCCCTATGCCATCTACTGAAACCTCACTGGAAATTAATGCAGTGAGAAATGCAAAAATAGTCCTTACAGAACAGGAAGTGAACAATCATAATTGTAAGAAAATCTAACAATCTGGAGAACAAAACAAGGCAAAAACTAGGAGGACGTCAATGATGTTGGCAAATCTGTAGATCATATGAGGACATTTTTTGAGACTAGGAGGATAAAGGAAGTTCTTAAAAGGGTTTCAGTATGGATATGGGCAATAACATAATTATCCCAGGTTGCTGTTATAATTACAGTTATTAATAAAGGATGTTGTAGAAAGAATATCGCATATTATACCTATTGCATACTACTTAAGCCAAATTCTTTTAAAAATTGGGATAAATATGATATTTGTGTACAAGTCAGGGTGAAGGTGACTGCTCAGACAAATTGTCCTACTGTAAGATTCTTACCTCCTGCATAGTTTCTGAGAAAAAGTGTTGAGATGTCTGGAGGAGGGTCTGTGTCAACCTGGCCAAATGTGTTCCTCTGAGTAGCACTGTTAAGAATCTCTGAATGATACAAACTGATTTGCTCAGTGCACATGGCACCTTATGGCACAGCCACACCACAGTGTGCATAGCTGACTCCTATCAAAAATCCTTGCCATTTCCCTGTGGCAGAAAAGCCAAAAGGAAAGTGGGCAGAAGGATGAATAGCCCTACTCTTTTCCCCATCTACACTGGAACATGCTGGTACTGCCTTGTGTTGCAATCCAGCTTCTGCTGAAACAAAGCATGTGCAGAGGCATGTTGAAACTTTGTCAGTTATGTACTTCCTGTTGACTGCAAATTCATTAAAAGCAAACAAAAGAGCAAACATAATAACAAAAAAAAAGCTGAGCAAATCTTTGATTAAAAGGGTAATTGGTCAGACTAGTCTGACCCATCTCCTTCATTTTAACCTACATAAGCAGCTTTCTCTGGTAACAAGAAATCGTTCTACAGCAGTCTACAATAAACCCAGAATCTCCTTCAAAATATCTGAAAAATAGGCTAAATCTGATACAAATATAATTTGATTTTTTTTTTAATTGAAAAATTCTGAAATGGGATGATTAATGCTTCATGAATTAAATTAAAAACAAAACAAACAAACAAACAAAAAAAAACACGAAAAAAAGAATGAATTGAAACCAAATATAAAATCTGTAAACTGGGAATAAGAATGCTGTTGACTAGTTTGCTTTGACCCAATGCCTTTAATCTGTTCCTTTTTTAATATCTTTCTGAACCTATAGAAACAATCTTCTTTACTACAAATGTATAGATTCTTGTACTGAAACATTAACAGGACAGTAATCTAGGATCACACAGATTGTCTGAGTGTCCTTGTATTAAGGAAGGAAACCCTTTAGGAATATAACACATATCTTGCCATGAAATCCTAGGTCTTGTGGTGTTTTATACACCAACTTATGGTGCATGTGTGGGTGGGTAGATATTTTTAAGCTTTGCCTTGGCCAGATGAACACTGCCCATGGGGCATATGTGATCTCTCCAAGTTAATTGCTTGATTTGACCCCAGATGCACAAAGTCTATTCTGTCTGACTGCGCTTTCAGAACCTGCAGCCAGCTAGCCTCATCCAAACTTCTAGTGGTTTTGTAGATCTGACCTTGAAGTTTTTTAGGCAGTGCACCACACAGCCTGTCTGTATTATCTCCTCTCAGTTGGGCACATTCTGATTGCCATAAATAAATAAATAAATAAAAATTAAATGCTAGTATCCAGAAGCAGCAGTGTAACTGGGCAATGACTGGAATACTTTGAGAAGACTTCGCAAACAGGATTATGGACATTTAATGTAAACAAACAAAAAAAAAAGGATGTCTTAAGAACATATCAGAGATATTATAATCTCTTACTATATATAATAACAGAAATATTATAATCTCTTACTGAGGTTTTAAGAGCAAAATTATTCTTCCTTTCCTTGACCCAGCATACATGTCATCCATAGAAAAAGATGCAGATACAATCTTTTTTTGGACCACTTGGACTTTGCTGTGAACCAGAGATTGCTGGACTGCAGAACAGACTTTACCAGGTAGCTGATGCTGCCTGTTGAGAAAGACATGATCCAGACTACCTGGGACACTGATGATTTTTTAGGTGGAGAAGAGGAGATGGAAGCTGTTTAGGACCTGACACCATCCCCTCATAGTCATGTGTGTTGTCTCCATCAAAGGGATTCAAAGGAGATTGAAAGGGACTCTTTGGCTACAACAGAGACAAAATTCATGCCTTTAATTTTTCCCAGCATTTGGAACAAGGCATGTTCAGGTCCACATGTGCAGGTTTTGTGGGGCTTCAGCTCTTTCCTCAGCTTTTATGCTTAATGGCCAATTAAGAAGGGGTCAGATTACGTGAGAAAGAAAAGACAGAGTTACTTCAAGCTGCAGCCTAGCACATGTGTTTTTGAGCAGGAGACCTTCAGGGCCACCCAACATCCTTTCCACTACATTCCCTGTGATTTGGGGTCCTCTCATCTGCTGGGATCCAAACACCACCTCATTCTGAGGACCAGACAGTCCCTCCCTGCAGTGTTCCTCCCCATAAAAGGGTTGGGGGGCAGCAGGTGTTTTCAGAGCTCCAGCTCTTCTAGTTCTGTGCTCATAGCCGTTCCCTCTGCTGCAAGGGCACAGGGCATCTCTCCGCTGAGAGGCAGATGCCAGAGCCACAGAGGCCTGAAGTGCAGGCTGCGCAGTTAGATCAGGATTAGGAGCGGGTGACAGATGCGCTAGGTGCCCTGAGGGCTTGGAGAGAGGCTAGTCAGGCATAAATACCACAGCAGGCTGTGCAGGCAGTTTATGCTGCAGGATGTGGAAGCTGGAGAAGTCTGGGGAAAGTGGAAATGAGGACTGGGAAGAGGAAGAGGAGTGTATTCAGATCCTGCTTAGTAAAAGGGAGGAAGGTAGCAGATATATTTTTAAGAAGGTAAAAGATGCAGGGATTTAGAGCTTTGGTTTCAGGAGAAAGAACTAGTATAACAGTGATGTATGGGGAAAACGCCCTGGGTTCTAGATAGCGTGTTAGGAAATAAGTCTTTAGCTAAAGATACGTAAGGTTTATTGTAGAAATGTGAGTTTTTAGGCCATATGGATATCGTCTCACAGACCCTACTGTTACTGATGCCTTTGCAAGTCACCCCGCAGGTAACAGTGGATTGTAGCAGCATTCCCAGTCAGCCTGAGGTCGTGTTGGGTACAGAGGGCAGCACGGGACAGGACGCAGCAGCCATCCGCATGGAGCTCTCGGCTCTGCAGAAGCTGTCTAGCGCTGTCCGGATCTGTGTGTGGGGGGTGTTTTTTCCCCCAAAGTTTTCCTGGAACCAGGAACAGGACAGAGCCGCCTCCCGCCTGGGGGACGGGGACAGCCGCGGGCCGCCGGCGCCACCTCCTGGGAACCCTGAGTATCGCGTAGGTCTCCGCCTCACAAAGGTAGGGGAAAAAAAAAAAAAAAGCAAACTCCTATAATTCAAGAAACTACAAGAGAAACCATCTTAAGGCAAGATGGTTTCTTAGCCGCAATCTTAGCCGCAAGAGCGCTGTGTAGTGATGCTCGGTGTTTCAAACTGTTCTTTCTCTCTCGGTGAGCAGACTGGTGAATCCATTGCGGGACTCTGAAATTTGTAAAACTGATTATTTTTCCTATATATGAACTGGGAGATGCCATTTGATAGATATTTTTTTCTTATTTTGTTCTTTAATTATCTATTATTTAATTATGGAGTCTTATATCTTAGACCTTTGAACATTGCTGGATGTTAACTTGGTTCATTTTTTTATTATAGAAGACTAAGTAGATGAAATAAAATTATGCATGAAACTGAGTTTAAAAAATAAAATTCCAACCAAGTTTCATGAATGGGTTTATTGAGCTCTAGACTGTATATAGATTGTTTATATATAGTCTTGGTATTTTCATTTCTCCTCTTATTTATTTATTTATTTATTTATTTATTTATTTATTTATTTCTTGAATTGTGCTTGTGTTTTATAGAGCCACTATAGAACACAGCCACACAGACAGTCAAATCAAGGTGCCTAAGCGGGTGGGGAGTAGTGACTGGGAGTACAAAGAGGTCGAGTGTCTTTTTGAGTTGTGTCAGTGTGTAACTACACCCTGAATGTTGAGACTTACAAATCAAAGACAGAGTAGCTTTTATTTATACCAAGTAACAGTGTTGGGGGTAAACTGTGTCAACTGCCTTAATATAGTAGAGCCCATTGTTACGCAAACCTTCTAATTTCTATCCTTAGATCATCTCAACAGTACTGTTCATACTGCCTGTACTATAACTTTAATCTCCATCCCTGGCTTTGATTTGCAGACTCTAGTAACATGAGATTTATCAAGCTGCTAAAATGCAGAGACTTGGAAAGGTCGGCTTTCCTCCATATACTTTTCCAAGTCAGGCGGACAGAATTCTTCAGCAGTACTTCAATGAATGAGGTGAGATACAGCATAAACGGCTTATTCACATTACAGTATTTGGCATATATTTTCATAATTCTCTTTGTTACCTACCAAAATGGGAGTTTTGCAAAGTTTAATGACTTAAAGGTATGAGGAATGATTCTGAAGGGACTTTTTTAAGGCAAAAGATGCAGCGAACTTAGAAGCTAATAGTTACCAATATGTGGAATAGACTGGGAAAGCTCACATTCTCTTAAACTTTGCACCAAGAGACTGAGAAGCTCTTTAATGGATGTTACAAGAATTGGCTTCAGTTACTTCTCGTCAAATTTGCAGCATGCTCTGTGAGAGGAAAGTCCTGCTTCTTGACAGCCTATGAGATTGCTGTAATTCTGACTGGAATTTGGATACTTGCCACAACCTGTTAAGCAAAGAAGCACATTCCAATACCTTTGTCAAGCTTGTCTTTTCATTTGACTAAGACTTTAAACAACAACAACAAAGAGATTCAGATCTATCAAGAACTATAGAGAAGTGTGGTACATGGTGAGGGCTATGTAGGTGAAAAAATAGCCTAAATTGTGAAAGTAACCAGTGGCAGATAGGTAGTTTTATGTTTTTGTAGTAGGGTGGGTGTCTGCAAATGGATTTTGAACTCTTAGGCTGAGGCCTTGGAGGGGAGGGGAAGGAAGAGGAGAATAATATAGTCCAGTAGACCTACAAAGATCATCTAGTCCAACTATCTGATCACTTCAAGGCTAACCAAAAGCCGAAACGTTATTGAGGTATTATCCAAAAGCAACGCTGACAGGCATGTGTCATCAACCACTTCTCTAGGAATCCTGTTCCCATGTTTGACTGCCCTCATGGTAAAGAAAAATTTCCTAATATCTAGTCATAACCTCCCTTGACACAGCTTTGTGCTATTCCCACACATCCTATCATTGGTTACCAGGGAGAAGAGATCAACACCTCCCTCTTTGCTTTCCCTCCATGGGAAGCTGTAGAGAGCTTCTAACCTCAAGCAATGAGGACTACAAATACCTTGTAGTTAAAAGAACACTCAATGGATTAGGTGAATGCCTAATGCCTATTTCACATGGGGGTCTTTGGTATTTCCTAGTCTAAAGAGTGTATAGTTGAGTGGGCCAATACAGTCTAACCTGATTTGTCCTATCCATGACATTCCATTATATAAAATATTTAAATACATATGCTTGACCTGCTTGACTTACGGAGGCTAGACACCTGGAAGATATGAAGGGGATCTTGTTGATCCTTGAGTAGAAAGATATTGGACTTTGTCCAGAGCCTGTGATACAGACTTTAAAGTGCTTCATGGTAAATTTGCCTCTTTTCTGTCATGTGCTTGTTTCATCTGTGGCTTTGGTAGAGGTTATTGCTCCTATATTTCTGAATGGTACAAAATTTCAAGAAGTATGTGCTGAGGTGTTTTATATGAATCATCTAACTTTCAGCTTGGTAACAAAATTCAGGCATACCGAGGAAGGATGTCTGTAACAATCTTAGAGACTAAAATGTGTTATAACACAGAACAGATGCTCAAAGGCCACCTTCTTGAAAGCCCCCTGGAGATCTGTGTATGACTTAGACTGGCCCAGCAACAATAAGGAGTTGAGTGTATACAGTATGATGAAAGTCAATGAAATTGATATTAGTGAATTCTGTGGGGATATGTAAATCATCTGTTAGTAAAAAAGGGCAGTATTTCCCTGGTATTGTTCATTCAGGAAGAACAGCAATGAGAAGCAGTAGAAGGATGGAGATGTCTCTGTTTTGTCAGTGTCTCCTTAGAGTGGAGAATACAGAGCCTGATACCCACATAGCTGGATGATGTCCTCAAAGAAATGAAGTAGACAAGCCAAAGAGAACCTACCTTTGACTTCTAGAGGATCTAACTAGATACCTGAGCAGAACATTGGGATTTGGATTAGGGTGATGAGTTTCAAATCTCCATAAAATGGGAAGACAATTCCTGGAGCATGAACCTAATGAGTCCTGCTGCGCTGTTTTGACATGCTCAGTTATGTAAATGTCTATATGGGGATTTTCCCATTTTCATTCCCTTTCCTTTTTTTTGCAGTCTTTGTACTGGTGGCTCTGTGTTTCTGGGAATTTGAATGTTTCTGAGTGGAGAAGACCTAGTGTCAGGGCTGACCAACACAGCATGGCATTTGTTTTTTGCAACCTGAAATAAATGTGTAGCTCAAGGATGGAAAGGACTTTTTGTTTGTTTGTTTGTTTTATTTTGTTTCAAAAGGCATTCAGCTGTATTGACCCTGGCAAGGCAGAGTGAGATGACTGTGGGTGCAGCAGGCCCTTATGAACCTTTCAAATCTATTCACCTGCATGTGCTAATGTTTTTGCTTTTGAGCCTGGGTTCTGAATCAAACTCTTCGTCTGAGTAGCTCTGAACACAATATGTTTTCATATTGTGATAACTCCACAGCTCTGCAATAGTCCAGGAACCACTTACTCATAAATAAGTAGCATCTTTCACAAATGTCAAAAATATTTCAGTATCCTTGAGATTCTTCTTTGCTTTTTCCTCTACCCTGGCTAACATTTACTTTTATTTCTGATTATTATTATTTTTTTTTTTCAGATGCTGGCAGAAGCCTGTACATCCCTGAGTCTTGAAAGTCAGATGATGGTTGTATGAATCCCATTCTGCTCTTAGGTCTGTAAGGGTACCCATAGGCAATACAAGATGACTCCAGTTCATACTGTCCCTGGTTCTTGCATTGCTGCACTAGATTTAAATAATAATAATAAATTACAACAGAATCTATTTATAGACAAAGTTTCTAGTCCTCCCCTTGCAGCTCAGAAAAAAAAATGTCCCCAGTGCAAGCAGAAAGAAGGAAGTATGTTCCACCTATGACTTGAAGAAGTAACACAGTGCTATGGAAAATAAAATTTACAGTTGCAGCTTCACTTCCTGTTTTCTCCTGCTGCAGAGGGAGTGCCTTCTGGATTTAGGGAGACAATTAGGAATTAGGTAATCATAGTGATTACCGTATCTTCTTTGCCAAATCTCCACCATGACCTGAGTTCCAGGGCCTGGCTCATGGGCCTGTTGAATTTAAGAAAGCCAAACATTTCCTTGCAATGACTTCCTTCCATGCTCATGTATCCCCAACAGCAGAACTTCTTGTCAAGCTCTTCATGTGTTTGAAGTGCAGTACTCCTAAAAGCAGGTGGATCTGGATTTTAGAAATAATTAAAATCTTGTGGTGACTGAAAAGGTTTCCTCCATTGGCCTCATGGGCACTTGCAAAGGTGAAGCTTTCCTGCAGAGCAGCTTCACTTTCTGTCCAAGGGGTAGCAAAACTGGGATGGAAGGCAGGAGATGCTGAGATCTTGTCCTGTACTCTGGCATTGCACACTGGTTTTTGTTGTTGATCTCCTTTTGAGGTGACATGAAGTCTTCAACACTCAGTGTCTAAATGTTTACAGTATCTGTGTCTGCTAGGTATATTGGATTGCTTTTATTGTTATTAAAATTAGAATAATCAGTTCCAACAGGAAGCTGACCAGATGTCCTCATTTAATCAGAACAGATCCCCTTTTTTAATGTAATATCCAGCTGTCCTAATACTTTTCAGAGCAGACCCATTAATCTCAGTTTTCATTGCAGTGAGATTCTTGATAGCTGTCAAGAAATGTTCACTAATAATTGTCTGATCCTTTCATACTGTTTAATGCTCAGAACTTTTCTTAATAAGCAAAGAAAATCATATTCTATTTGCAAGGAAATGCTTCAGTCACACCCCTAGTGTAAAATATTTTCAAGAGAATTCATTATGAAAGTATTTTTGGATTAATTTAATTTGTACACTATTTTCTCAGACTGTAGGAAGCGGTTGGAATGTTGTCTGGCAGAATGTGTAGGGGAGAGAAAATACACATTTCTACATATGGGAGGGTTGGAAGAATGGGTGGGGAGCTGATTATCTTGGCATTACTAGAAGGGAATTTTACATAAGAATGGTACTGTTGAAAATGAGACTGATCCCCAGACTTTGTAGCATGGAAACTAACTCCTTGTCTCTGCTAACAGTATAAGCAGTACAGTTAAGTTAGGAGGATGCTTGAAGTTATTTTTGTTCCAGTCATAAGACCCTGATACATTGTGTAATTATTTTACTTGCAAGTATCTTATAATACTTGTTTTTATCTCTTTTCACCAGATCGGAGTAAATTACTTTGGGATAAAGATAAACTCTGTTTTCAACTTTTGCTGAGGTTTTAATTGGACTAGTGTATTTAATGTAACAGAAAGTAGTGCACACAACAGCTCTGTCTGATAAGGGGAAGAACAGTATATATAATTATGGGCAACTAGCAGTATATAGGAAAATACCTTCCCATCCAACTAGCAATATACTAGCAAAATACCTTCCCATCAAACAGAAATCTGTCACTCTGTTCAGATGTTTATTGTCCACTATAATTATGGCAAATCTTTAAATCCTTTCTAATGTTATTTAGATGCTCTGGGAGCTCATGGTTGTTGTTTACAAAAATTGTCCCAGGGTGTCTAATTTCCATTTGGCAAGATAGCCACAGTAGGCAGAATATGGATTAGATCTGAGGTCTTGGGAGACTTCCCACACCAGCACCTTATTTATGTAAACACACTTGATTGGAATAGCATGTTCTCATACATGGGAAGATGTTTTTTATAGTGTTCACTGTCTATGTTGTTTGCAGAACATATTCCTTAAACAGTTAATAAAAAGAAAAACAGACATACAAACAAACAACAAAAAACCTATATCGTTAGGACTGCTATTGGCCTGGTGGTTTTGATGCAATACAACACAACAGAAGTCCGAGGACATTCCTGGTAGTGATTGCAATTTGCATAAGACAGTGAAGTTTTTGGACATCATGGTTAGTAGTGCACATTACAGATGACATACATGGCTGTGGTGGTCTACTTACACAGAGATTTCCACTCGTATGGCCAGACAGTATAAATGCAGCAGTCTTAGACTCTCAGCTGTACAAAGCTGTACAAGGGAGTGTTATGAGGGGGAAGACTGAATTCTTTTTCATAGCAGACGGGAACAAATTGTTTTTCCATAAAACTGTTCTAAACAAAGTATTTAGTGTGTGTTACGGAAAATGAGTGTGTACTGGATGAAACTTAAAAAGGACTTTTCATTTTCGAAGTGTAACAAAGGCAAGGGCGGAGTATCATCCACTGAATGAGGGGCTAGTTAATCAGTCACAGGATATTTTAAGCAGCCAGCAATAGGTCCTTTCATATTTAAAAATAAAGCCCTGTGAGTCTCATCTAAAATGTATGAAAGTAAATGAGATTATTTTCATTGACCTTTAAATTGGCAGCCATAAATAGAATATTTTTCTCTTATTCCTTTTCTGCTGGAGCGGAAGAGGACATTTTGGGTTTCATGGCTCTTTAAGCTAAGCTTCTGAAAAAGTGTTTCTGCTGATAGTTACACACAGCCTCCTCCATACTCCTTTTCTTGGGAGAGAGAGCACTGCATGGGTGAGGTGAACTGAGAAGAGGTGAAACTCAGGAATGACAGCCTCCAATATACTTAAGCATGAGTAGAACAAAAGGAGGATATCTTTATACAGGAAGGAGCAACTGGTAAATCGCTGGATTTATTGTTTGGGATGAAAGAGTTTTATTTTGTTTTATTTTATTTTGTTTTGTTTTATTTTATTTTATTCATGTATTTTATGAAAGGCAGGAAAAGAATAAGTCTTCAGATACACACCGTTTTTCTTAATAATATGTGCTATGAACCCTTGCTCAGAAGAGGGCCTAGAACTTCCAGTTGAGCAATAACACATCTTATAAAGCTATTTTCTTGATCTCAAAGCATTGTATTCTTAAATGGTATAAAGTATAGGGTATTTGGTTGAATTAATACAATGTTTGCAATTCTGCATGAATTCTGCCTGTCTCTCAGCATATTTACACCTGGCTGTCCATTGTGTAAGTAATAATCTCCCACAGTGCTATTACTGTATTGAATAATGTTTATTCCTCATTGTATTAAAAACTGGTGTAATGACTTTAGTGCCTGTGCACTAGCAGACTTAGGGCGCACACTAACTTGAATAAACAAAAGAAAAGATACTATGTTGGCTTCTGAACAAGGTATTGGCAATCTTTCTGCTTGAGGGTAGATCTCAGTTTTCCCTTGTCCGTTCAGACTCTATCTATATAGAAGGCTAACTCCTCCTGTACAATGTGCCTGGAAAAGTTTTGTATCCATAGACAGTGGTTTGCTTAAAGTTTCAGTCCAGTGGTTGAGTTTTGTCCCTCCAGAAATACTGAGCCAGTACTGACAACAAGATTCTCGGTACCTCACCCAGTCTTCCACAGATAGAAAACATCTCCAGCTGTGCCTCATTTGTTATCTGACTATGCTTTTGTGTGTTAAAATTGTTGCAGAACAACTCTACTGAAACATCCCAAGGTTCCGTGTTAGTTCTAGAGAGTTTTGTTTATATCTATGTATATATATATACATACACATACACATGCACATATATTCATATATTGCTATTTCTTTTAATCATCTTCAGAAGAGAGAGGAAAAAAAAAAAAAAAAAAAAAAAAAAAAAAAAAGATGTGGTGGAACCAAAGCAGTCAAGCAGTCAGAACTGGTGTGAAATTGTGATGACTTATGACTTCCTTGTTTGAAGAAGATGAAAGTTTGGGTAGAAAAGAGATGCATTTTAATTTTCTTTTCATTCTTTTAGAAACAAAATAGCAGCAACAATGCCAGTTTATGAAGCAATGATTAGCAGGACTGAAGTAACTAGTTCAAGTTGAGTACCCATCTTGTTCCATATTAAAAAAAAAATCATTTTTTTCTTTCTTTCTTTTTTTCTTTTTCTATTTATTTAGAGTAGTGCTTAAAATCCTCTGAATTTAGAGGAGTTAAGAGTGATGTACACAAGAAACATTCTTCTTCAAGACAGGAGGCAACAAGAAGTGCTAGACATATGGTGAAATGCCTGCAGTCTGACACCAGAGCAGCTTTGGCTGAGGCAGAGGACTGGCTTTCCAAGGAAATGAAAGGAGATACATGTTATACTTTGAAAAAGATTTAACGGGACTTGATTGTCTGAAAGCTTTTTTGAAAATCATGAGGTAATATTATTAGTCTAGGTAACAGCCTTGACTGTTAGTGTTGAGTGGAAAACAACTCCAGTTTTTGGAAATGGCTTCATACTCTGAAAATTTTTTACAACTTCAGATGTAATAGTCAATTAAATATATATTCCTAAAATCAGCCAGTTATTGATTTAGCTACAGGTGAATTCATTTCATTTCTACTCTAATTTTCTAAAGCTTCTTACAACGATTCCAGACATATTTCAGCCTATAAGTTTCCATACTAGCTTTTAACCTACAATCCAGAAATGAGACTTTTTGCTTGCACTGTTCTCCTTTTGTGGGAGAGTGAGAAGATGTGAAGGAAGGACAAGGACAACATGCATCTTGAATAACTGAAACCTGGAAGAGGCCTGAGAAATGTTCATAGATCATTCTCTCACAAATTACTGTTGTTATCATTGTCCTTTCATGTGGTTAATTGCTAGGTTTTAGAAAAAAATTCACAGCTGTTGTGTAAAACAGATAGGGCCTGTTCTCTAGTTCTTAGGTAAAATGACACCACACTCTTCATGTCCATGCAACTAAATTTTCTTCCTTTCCAAATCAGATTGAAAAGATACCAGTATACCTATTGGGAAAAATCTCTGACCCACAAATTTCACTGGAAGAAAGCATATTACCAGTTTTAAAAGCATGGATGATTTTTGGTCAGTATTTGAACCTGTGTTCTCACCTTATTTTGTCTATAAATACAGACTTTGCCATAAACAATAGTGCCAGAAATGGCCATATTGCTAAAGTGTGCATTTCAGCAAACCCATGTCAATGTAAAGCAGTGTTGTACTCTTTCCTCCCTTTATTCCCATAAAGGAAGTTCAGAGACCTGTCCATCTTCTCCTGCCAGGTAATCATACATTCTGGGGTTAAAGAAGATAACAGAACCTCAGGAGATGGAGTTGAGAGTGCTGGCTGAGTGTTGGGAGTTTGGGTTGTTCAGTCTGGAGTAGAGAAGACTCTGGAGAGACTTTATAGAGGTCTTCCAGTACCTAAAGGGGGTCTGCAAGAAAGCTGGTGAGGGTCTTTTTATCAGGGAATGTAGTGATAGGACAAGGAGTAATGGCTTTAAACTAAAAGAGGGTCGATTTAGATCAGATATAAGAAACTCTTTCCCATGAGGGTAGTAAGATACTGGAAGAGATTGCCCAGAGAAGCTG